AATCGGACATGCCTTTATTCTCAAGCAATACGATATAAACAAGTTATAAGAACTATAAGCAAGGTTTTACTGAAATGCGAAATCAGAACAAAAGTAGAACATGAATTTTTGCAACACTTTTCATAAATTCAAATTCGGTGTTCTACCTAGAGGTCAGAGTAGGACTCCAGTGTCCTTCTTGAAAATATTAGCCAGACTTTTAAAGGAATGGATAGCTTATATGAGAGAAAACAAAATTCCCAAAGCTAATACTAAATCCAGAATGTATTCTTACTTCCCGTAAGTTAGCACACTCCACGACCTTAGCTTACGGATTTCAGCTAAAGAACTTTTTTCTATTACCATACTCATAAAGTAAGTTCTTAATATCAATTAAACATCATTAAAACCTCAACGATTATGCAAATCAATGATAGAAATACATTGCAGCGAATTGAGCTCTTTATCGCAGGCGATCTTTTTTTGGTCGATAAATTTTATATAATATGAATAACAAACCCGCATGTCGAGGCTAAATATAGTCAACCTCTCCATTTGTATTATTTTTTTTCTTTTGCGAAATGGGTAATGCTGCCATAAATACCAATCTCGTTATTTATGCTTCAAGTCTGCATTTGACACTTGCGATTTTTTAGACTTGACATTTCCATGCATCCAACGTAATGTGCGCACTATATTCGAAAATAGAGGATAACGAGGAAAGGGTAATTGGAGGGGGAATGAGAACTTTTTTTTGTTCATTCATACATAAATATGTATACAAGTCAGTGTCAAGTAAATTATTCATAGATAGTAATGCTATATAGCGCGCCTCTTTTTATGAAATGTAACCCATTGCAAAAACAGCAAAGGCTTGCAGTAGAAAAAAGTTCCACAAATTATTTATATTGTGTCATCTAATGGCCCTGTACTTGATTTATATCTCAATCCTAGCTCATTAAGATGTATGAACGAGACTTTCTTAGGGAGATACGGAAATTTGAACAAAAGTTCATCAAAAGCTTTCATTTAGATGGAAAAGAATACCATGGGGAGCCCTAATCGCTCGTTATTGAATAACGTGGGACTGGGAAATGAGGTTGCATAATAAATGCTAAAAGAGTGGGAACTCAAAGCTAAATATGGCTTTTTATGACAGATCCGCTTTATTGTGTGACAAAGATAAATTTTAAAACCTCATTTCAAAGTGTCATAGTCTGATGTGCGCACCGTAAGCACCTGCGAAGTTTGCAGACTTTTTAAATTGAATATGCAATTCTTTTCGGCCAATAACGGATATGATCGGATCATTAAGTTTTTTTCGAACCAATTAATATTCATGGAGTAAAGAAATAATGTAAAGATATAAACATTCATGCATTTCTAACGGTTTAAGGGAGTTTTGAAATTTTACGCCATTTTTCTATCGCCATCCGTTCGCTAGCGTACATGAAGAAAAGCAACTTGACTCAAAAAAACGTTAAATTATAAGAAGGACAACAGAAAGGAAGTAATTTGGCTTTACCTGGAACAGATATCGTTAGGAACGGAGAAAGTGATGGTATAAATAGTTAATATTTTATATGAAAAGCAATGCTGGAGAGATGTCATGTTCTTCAGCAGGAACCATCTTGCGCAGCTCTAAATATTACTTAATTGGTTAATATACACAACATTTTCAAATGAAGCTTCATCCTTATTGGAAAGGCTTAACTTTAAAAAAAAATTAGCTGCTTAAATTACTACGCTTTGAATAATTACGTCTTTCTTCACTCAAGACAGAAAAAAGTTAACAATGCTTCTAAGGATATCTGATTGTAACTAATTCTCTCTTTTTTTTTCCAGACAAACAGTCGTGTTTGCCATTTTTTCTGGACATCAACATTGTTCGCCTACCCGTTGTCACTTATAGCTCAAGCAGGTACGAATCAGAAGTCTTCAAGCTTCATTCTATCTCGTATAACACGGATGCGTCATTAGTCATTCTCCACGCATACTATTAGCTCAGTTACCGACGTAAGCACAACTAGTAACTCTCATGATGACAGGGATCTTGGGGATCCCGGAAATAGTGTGACGGATTTTTTCTCAATAACTGAGCCAAGATAGAAAGTCGTGGCTTCCCAATTTTCAACCTTACTCTTAATAGATTTAAACTCTAAGGGATATGAACAATTTTGAGAAGTTCTTCTGCATTGATTCTTTGTCATTTACACCTCTTCTTTGGAGAAGCTCATCGTGCGCTTTTTAACCCATTTAATAACCTTAGGCTCCGTGTGGACCTGCGTGGCAATTGCCTCCGATCGCTTCATCGCTGTTTCCTTCCCTATCAAAAAACATGTTTGGGCTACTCCGAAGACATCCTTATTTGTTATTTGTGGAGTAACCCTAGTCAGGTAAATGTCTTAGCCTTCATTCTTTTTATTCAATCCCTCAATCTAATTGCAGAGAAGATGCAGAAGTTTTTTTAGTGTCCTCTTCAAACTCCCTGCCTTTTTTGAAATAACTCTCAATGAATACGGGCAAATCACTCCAACATCGATGCGATTGAATGCAAACTATCAGAAATATTACATGACCTATATGTATTTGATCTTCATTCTATTTATTCCATGGACAGTAATCATTGTCTTGAATGGATTTGTCATACAGAAGGTAAGGATTATTGAAATAACTAAAATAGGTTGTTTTATATTTAAATATGTACAGGAATATATTCAAAGATATGCACCCAAAAAACTGGGAGTATTACTTGACTTTCCTACTTCATATGCTTTTTTTCTATTATTCTCATAGTCGTTTGATTCCCGCTATAGAAAAAAACATAATTTGGAGTAGATTTCGTAATTTTCCTTGATTGACACGCAACCTCCACGAGTAAAGTAAAATGATGCAACT